GTTTGATTCTCCAGCACCACATAAGCAAAAAGAAAAAAAAAAGCTGGAAGTGGCACTGTGGCTCAAGTGGTAGAGTGCTAGCCTTGAGCAGAAGAGCTGAGGGACAGCGCCCAGGCCCAGAGTTCAGGCCCCACAACCGAACCCAAAAGAAAAAAAAAGTTCCAGGATGGGTTGGGATCCCAAATAAGAGCCTGGTGAAACCCTGTATGAAAACCCATCTTAGTGAGTAGCAAAGACTCCAGGGGGACATTGAAGAGAATTGGAAGGCTGAGAGAAGAGCAGTCACAAGCCAGTAGAAAGATACAATGTATCATACTTTATGCAGTGCAACACAGGTTAAGCAGGGAAGGAGCTCAAAGGGATATGGGCGGGCCTAGCCTAGATAGGTGAGAACTGGAAAAAAAAAATCAGCTAGGCCTGAGGCTTGAAAAGCCTAGAGGGCCCTGGGCAATTGATGCAGGGGACAGGTCAACTGATTTCCTGAGTGTCCTGGTACAAGGAGGAAATGAACAGTTCGAAGTCTCTCTACCCCTCCAAGAAAAGCCTCGGACGTGTAGGGGCTGGTGTTAGGTGATTAGGGTAAACCCTCCTCAGAGAATGGGAGAGAGCTTGGACTTGACTAGATTTTGAAGGACACTGTCACCGGGTTTTCATCTGACAGCAGTAAAACACCAATTTGTTTGTGGGGCCTGACCTCTGGGCCTGACCTCTGGGCCTGGGCGCTGTCCCTCAGCTCTTCAGCTCAAGGCTAGCACTCTACCACCAGTTGGACCACAGCACCACTTGCAGCTTTTTCTGCTTATGTGGTGTTGAGGAATCGAGCCCAGGGCCTCATGTATGCATGCAAGGCAAGCACTCTACCATTGAACCACCTTCCCAGCCAACACCAGTTTATTAAAAAAGAAAACAAGTTGGGGGGCTGGTTGCTCACACCTGGAACACTAGCGATTCAGGAGGCTGAGATCTGAGGATCCCTGGGCAGAAAATCCCGTGAGACTCTTTTTTTTTGTCGGTGGTCGTGGGGCCTGAACTCTGGGCCTGGGCGCTGTCCCTCAGCTCTTCAGCTCAAGGCTAGCGCTCTACCACCTGAGCCACAGCACCACTTCTGGCTTTTTTCTTTTTTCCTTTTGGGCGGTCATGGGGCTTGAACTCTGGGCCTGGGCGTTGTCCCTCAGCTCTTTAG